CCGGTCGCACCTGGTTCCGGTCTCCCCTGGTTCCGGCCTCACCTGGTTCCTACTTCACCTGGTTCCGGTCTCACCTGGTTCCGGTCTCACCTGGTTCCGGCCTCACCTGGTTCCGGTCTCACCTGGTTCCGGTCTCACCTGGTTCCGGTCTCACCTGGTTCCTACCTCACCTGGTTCCGGTCTCACCTGGTTCCGGTCTCACCTGGTTCCGGCCTCACCTGGTTCCTACCTCACCTGGTTCCGGCCTCTCCTGGTTCCGGTTTCACCTGGTTCCAGCCTCACCTGGTTCATGGCCTTGTGAACTCTGGCTCTGAAGACGTAGAGCTCGGCAGACGGACCCTCTGAGATGACCCGGTCCAGCTCCTTCAGACAGTCGCCGTGTTGCCCTGCCGCTGTCAGGCAGGCCAGGCTGGAACGAGAAACGGCCCCCAAGACTGAAAACACAAAACCAGCCGCAGAAACTAACCTGGAGGGTAAAAACCAGAATTAAACTGACTGGAGTGAAAAACAAAATGGGTTTCTATCATGAAATGTCTTCCTGTTTGCCATGATGGTTTTTATTTTTAGATTCTCTTTTTATTGAATTGTTCATATTTGCAGAACAGTGAGAGTAAGGTGTTGAACCAGAACCAGGAGGAGGTTCTGCTGACCTTCTGATTCTGAAGGCGCCGGCGGCCTCCGGCTTCAGGTCGGCAGCTTTCCCGAACATGTGCAGCGCCTCCAGGAAGAGACCGCGGTCGAACAGACACTGAGCCTGAACACAACAGAACCAGAACCAGGACTTCAGTCAGAACATTACTCATTACCATCTGATTTTAAGTCCATAAATGACATTATTAATAATAATAATAATAATAAACAGCAAATAAAAAGCAAAATAAAAAGGAACCAGCAGGACTTCAGGTCAGAACAGAACTGAACTGAACGGATCCGTTTAAGATGCCAGCTGTCAGAAACCATCGATTTTATTTAAATTAAAATAAAGTAATTGTTCCCTCAGTTTTGAAATTAAAGCCGATCAGCAGAAAAATAAAAATAATACAATAATAAAGTAAAAATGAGTCATAAATTCAGTTTATTTCTATTTAAGCAACAAATATTTAGATTTACATTGAGTTTGTCTTAGATATCGTATAGTTTCAGATAAATAACGCGGGAGGTTTTACCTGCATGTAGTAGATGAAGGACAGACGAGCGTCGAAAGCTCCAGGGTCCAGGAAACTGGCTCGATTATAAGAGTCGGCTGCTGACTGGAAGTCACACAGCTGAATATAAGCCTCTCCCAGGCTCACATACAGCTCAGTCTGAAGCAGAAAAGTTCAAACATATGAAAAGTTTGTTACCAAATCAAAAGCAAACATTGTTTGTGAGTTTTCTGCTCGCAGCACCTGTTTAGGCTGCAGGTAGATGGCTTTGGAGAAGCAGAGCACAGCCTTCTCATACTGGAACTTCTCCACTGCCTCTTTCCCCTTTATTAAGCTGAAATGAAAAGCTTTAATTATTGCCTAAAAGCATCAGATTTTATGATCAAATGTTGCACATATTATTGGTATAAATCATCCACAGGTTTAATTGTATTATCCTTTAGGAATCAATTTCAGTAGATACTCTCTGGCGGTGAATTTTTTTCTTCTGTGTTTGTAATTGAGTTTGTCCTCACTGCTCTGCAGCTTTGCTCTTAATGATTATGTCCGGATCCAGTTTTGGTCTTCGAAAGCGATAGTCTCTGACTGCCACAAGCCGATCACTGAAGTCCACGTAGGTGCTTCTTCTCCTGGCCCTTTCCAGATTCTCCTCTGACACAGCAGTGGAAAAGACACCTTGTCCATCTTCATGCTGATAGACAGCAGAGGATAGAAAAGATAGCAAACACATAAAAAGACAAGAAATCAGCATTCTCCCTATATTTAATTAGCTACCTCTTTGTTTCATCTTCTAACCAGGCTTCTCTTAGACAAAAATAAAACAAATCAACTAAAATATTATTATAAAATCTCTTTTCATTTAAGATAAATAAAATTAGGATGGAAAAAATAAAACTGTTATTATATTTAATTTAGTTTTATGATCATCTAAAATAAAATTGATTAAAACGAAATTAAAATAAATGCATAAAAGTTTAAAAAGCTACCAATTGAAAAATGACTGAACTGAAATTAAAAACAAAAATTAAATAAACCAAGAAAAAAACAGAATGATTAAATTAAAAAGCTCTGACTTGATTTGATTATTGGGGTTGATTGAGTTACGAAACTTAGCAGTTATCTAACTCTGAAAAAAGCTATTTTATCTTTATTTACGTCGTTTGTTAATGATTTACTTACTGTTTGATCATTTATCTTCTCAGGCGTGTCCATGTTGTTTGTAAAAACGCGTTTACCAAAGAGGAGTTACTCAACTGCTGTAGCATCTGCTTTGTTTTTTCTGCTTCTGTTTCTAAACTTTAACATTAAACCTGAATGTTTCCGTGGAAACCAACTCATAACACCATGTGGGCTTTTATTTTCTTAACAAAGAGTTTCAACGCGGAGCGAGAGTTGTGTCCCTTTCTGTTCCGGTGACGTTTTTAAATAACCGGAAGTGTCAAATTAAATCCACGAACTATCATTTCGCTGCTAAAAGTCCTGTGTTATGTAACGTAACATGGTAAAACTTTAAATGCAAATATATAGTCGTGTAAAAGTGAACAGTTGTTCATTTCTAATTATTATTTTGTTCTGTTTCACTGCTAGCATCATGTTGCCAGCTAAACATGTAGTTACTGAGTTATAAGAGAGATAAAAAAAATCTACTGGATATTTAAAAGTGGTGTTAAAAGTAGTTTTAGCTGTGCAATTTCCTGGGTTTTATCTTAGTTCCATATGTTAACGTGTAATCGATATTATTTAAGTATGTTTATACGGTAATAAGCTGGTTTATAACACATCCTGCTAAGTCTTAAATGTAAAAACAAATCACCGGTAAATATTTTAAAAAGTGTACATTTAAACTCTCAACTATAACCAAGTCATAATATGTACTAACATGTAATAGATTGTGTTTTAGACTTTTATTTTGAAAGTCGTGTAACAGGCACTGGAGGTGATCAGCTGACTCTGATGTTAATAAAGCAAGTTATGAGCGGGTGGAGGAAGCTGAGATCAACCGGATCGTCTCATTGTTCAGGTAACAACCGCTGGGAGCTCATTTATTATTCCACGGCTTTCATGTTTCTCTTTTGTTGGTTTATTAAAGCAGCTGCCATTGTTTCTCAGCTACAGACTTTTCCGGCCGGTGGATTCATGCTGAGGGCGACCGAGAGCAGAAGGTAAACACCGGGGAAGGATCGCTGCCGTCAGCATGGACGTCCAGACCGAGAGACGGAGGCTGCTGGATGAGGAGGGTGGAGATGAAGATCCTACCGGACTCCTGTCCGAGCAGGAGGCTTATCTCAGGTCAGCCTGATTACCACTTTATGCAGCCACAGTATCAGAGGACGAACTGACCTTTTCAAACGGGTTTTCTGGACTTACAAAGTCTAAAAAGTGTTTCTCAGCTCTCATCTTTGGTGGAAACTTAGCTGGATGTTTCAGGTGTGTCCCTGCTTTAAGAAACACCAATCTGAGGCTTGAGTTGTACAATGAACTGGTCAACTAGTTCTGCAGAATCTGGTTTTAAATCAGGTTTGTTAGAAAAGAGAAACACCTAAAGCAAAGCATTTTACCCCCGAGAGGCAAGGCTGGGAAACACCCAACAATTTACATGAAATAACCACGTAGAAAGTAGATTATTCAGCTGCGTTCAGCTTAAACCGTGTGCTCTCTGTTAAGTAAAATAGTAGAGTTATGGTTAGTAGAGATAAAATAACACGTTTCCAAAGCCCAAAATGATGAGTTGGACTTGCTTGTTTCGTCTGATCATCAAATCAAAAGTCAAAGGTTTTCTGTTTACAGGGATATAAAATTGTAAATTTCAGAAAATTGAGAATTATCAACTGGTTAAATAGTTTCCTATTTACAATCACATCCACTCCAACCAAATCACTGTATTGGCTGCTACAGCTTCCTGCCTGCACTCCAATGCAATATATTGATTGCTTTATTCAATATGGTCCACAAAGACATGATACACAACAACAACAACAACAACAACCTTTAGGTATAAACAGTTTATAGCCAAAGGTTTTTCTTCACTTATAAATCTTGTTTTTAACCAGTTTTCCTCCATCTTGCTCCCCACTACCTGATCTGTAATCTGTTCATACTCTGGTTACTCAGCCATTGTTTCTGAGTCTGGTGAACCTGCTCAACTTATTTTTATCTTTATTTATTACAAATTTCAATCAAAAAGTTGAACACAAATGGACACAGTGTCAGCCTAGGACTGTGTGTGTCAGCTCTGAAGCATTTGGCACTAAAGCATTGAATCAATGTTCCAACTTTATCCAGAAGCCAAGAACACAAACGTCCTTCTATCAGTCTGAGGACTTTGTATTGATTTGTTCATTTTAGCAAATTCATTTATACCAAATTGAGTTATTTTCCTTAAATAAATGGATCATTAACAGGTATAAAGTGTTGATAAACTGTCTAATTTGATCCTTAAAGCTGCAGTATGTAACAATTTTTCCCCATTTTTGTTAGAACTGTCACCATGTTGTGACAGTTTATTATGAGCCAGGAGGAGGGGCTTAGTGCTGTCAATCAATACTACTCAATGTGCTAATCTATAGTTATGCTAACTAGCTATGCTAACTAACCTTAGCATTCATGGCAGGCTATGTTGTGGTGAACCAGTTGTAGCGTAGCAGAGAGTAAGGGTGCAGGGATGTGAGCATAAGAGTGATTGACAGCGCTAAAACCCTCCTCCTGGCTCTGATTGGATATTTGCCAGGGGGTTATGCTTTCGCATGTGGTTAGCTTCCTTTTTGGATTTATTTTAATACATAATTAGAAAACATGTGAAATTAATGGATGACAGTGGACAGAGTTGATCCGAACGATGGACACTCTGGTCTGGATTGTTTCTGGTAGTGGCAGCATCATGCTGTTGGACGTGGAAGTTGGTCAGAATTGGAGTTAAACCTGTTTGAGGTCCCTGTAAGACAATAACCTGGAACAGGCCCAGGCGTGTCCAGACTCTGGTCAGCGGCCCTCTGCAGCATTTTAAGGATGATTCTGACTCATTTAAATCTCCCTAGAATGGAAAATGTTGGTTACAGCACAAAGTATTTCGCCTTTAATGTCATTGTGGTTTTGTTTTCTACTGAACAAAACCGCATCTGTCCAGTAACTTTTACTGAAAAGCAGACTTTGTTGCATCTAAATCAGTTTTTATTTAATTTATTAAAGTTGGCTAAATAGAGGTTGGCATTGCTAGAGGAAGAGTTCCCCAAATTCCTGTTAATATACTGTGAATATACTCAATGTTTTCCTGTTTTTTACCAAATCAAGCCAAAAAGCATTTGCAAAACTTCTTTTAATAAAGAAAAAGTGGAAAATTAGATTTAAGTTTTGGATCTAAGGTGATTGACACAAATCTGGCAACCTTGTTTTGTTGTTTAGAGGATTTCTTGTCTAGCTTATTGTTGAAGAAAACGTTAGGACACCACTGCCTTATTTTCATATGTCACAGTGGCCTAGTCAAAGTCCAGACCAAAACACAGTTGAGAAACTATGGTAAGACTTGAAACAAAGTGTTTCTTACACAAAGTTTGAAAATTCCTCCAAAATAAAACAAATATAAACATATAAAACTGCACAGACATTTACAGTTCATTTAACCTGCTTCCTCTTTTGCTTTGTCTGCAGCAAAGTGAAGAACAGGAAGTTGTACCTGGCCTCGTTCGCTGCCGTTCTGGGTCCCATGAGTTTCGGGTTCGTGCTGGGATACAGCTCCCCCGCCATCCCTGAGCTCAGCAGGATTTCCGACCCTCGGCTGCGGCTCAGCGAAGTCGAGGGCTCCTGGTTTGGGGTACGATGACGCAACATCACATGGCTGGAAGCAGGGCTGAGTTTGGCTGCATCAGCAGCTTTATGTCGTCACATGCTGCCAAAAAATACTTATTACAGCAAAAAACAGTCAACCAGACAACAGTCAAAAACAGTGTGATTTAATTAATTGTGATTAATTAAATCACAATTAATCTTGTGATTTAATTAATGTAAATCACAAGAAGATTTACATTAATTAGATGTAAATCCATTCATTAACAAGGAAAAGGTTTTCAGATATTAGCTCTGATGAGACGTAATTATACATCTTTACATTTAGAACAAAGTACACAAAGAAGTGAAAATGCAAAACTTACTGAAGTTTTGCAAACCTAAGCATAAGGTTTGCAAAGTGAAAGACAAAAATTTAGATAAATTAAACAGTTTAGCTAAAAATTCATTTATTAATATTAATAAGTTCTGTTTAAAGTGAAGCATTGCATTGAGTTAATCAGAAGAGCGCTGAGGTTCCACGTTTTGTTTTTACAGTCCATCGTGACGATAGGCGCGGCGGTGGGCGGCCTGCTGGGCGGCTGGATGGTGCAGCGCATCGGCAGGAAGCTGACGCTGATGTCCTGCACGCTGCCCTTCGTCTTCGGCTTCACCATCATCATCGCCGCTCAGAACGTGTGGATGCTGTACGTGGGCAGGGTGCTGACCGGCCTGGCCAGTGGCATCACGTCTCTGGTGGTCCCGGTAAGAAGCGCCTGGAGGTTTGGGCTGGTTTTAGACCCGAACACCAGGAAATTCAATCTGAACTGAGCAAATCTGGAACAGAGCAGATAATAATCGATTCGCTGCATGGTCCAGCATTAGGGCCAGACTAAGAGATTAACTTTTAAATTGTGAGAATAAAATCATTACGACAATAAAGTCATGTCATTGGTGTTTTTTTTATATGCAGAAAATGTGATGTATTTGAAAGCTCCAAACTTTTAGGCTCCACATGTTTAAACAAGAAGCTGACATGATCTCAAACTGGAAACGAGTGTTAAACTGTATTTACTTCACAGTTTGACACTCGTAAAATAACCTTCTGGTAAAATGATATTACCGGAAGAAGGTTGTAAAATTGTAAAAAAAAAAAAAAAGTTGTTTTAATGAGAAAAAAAAGCTGTGATAGTTTATTTATTTATACATAGTAGTATACTATTATTATATTAGTAAAAAGATGGTCCAAAGTTAGACAGGTAAAGTTCAACAGAAAAACTACAGTGTTATTATATTATATCTTATTTTTACTAGAAAGAAACATGAATCACTTTTGAATTGCTTGTGAATGTGACTATAATTAATGGTTTTCTCCCCTCCTCCTCAGTTGTATATTTCTGAGACGGCTCATGAGAAAGTCCGCGGGATGCTGGGCTCCTGCGTTCAGCTCATGGTGGTCCTGGGGATCATGGGAGTTTACCTGGCAGGTACGTCGCTGCTGCTTTCTGTAACAAGCGATTCCAGGCTCCTGTGAATGCTTAAAGGATTCCTCTGATCAATGAGAGCGTTCCTCCTCTGTAACCTGACGGCGATCTGGCTGTCCGGTCGCAGTGTGAGTGTTTTATCTGAGGCTTCTTTGCTGCTTTGATTGAAACGTTCGGAGGAAGAGGAGAGCAGCTGGAGCTCAGGTGATCCTCTGATAAGTTCAGATCCTCTCCAGCTGCTGCAGCCCTGACCTGCCGGCCATAACCTCTGATCTGGGCGGCTGCATGCCACTCATGTTCTCCAAATAAAAGCTGGAGTGTCCGGTCAGGTGGGCTGCCTCGTGATGGCCTGGCTGTGCAGAAAAGTTGATTATTAACAGAACTAACAAGTTCAGAAAGATAAAGTGATGGATGCTGCCTGATGTCAGGGATCTTCTTCTGTTTGGTGTTAGTCAAAGGCAGAGCTGCTGTTCCTCATTGTTTTCACTCTTATTCACAACCAGACGTCTGACGTAAATATGGTTAAGATCTGGATTCTGCTTTTTGCACAGATAATAAAGTTTTATCACACTAATTAGGTTAAAGGTGCGATGCAAAAGTTAAACAGTGCATACCAGATAACCAAGTAATATTTCAGTTCAATGTTTTACCAGGTAAAATGGTAGTCAAGACAAATACTGAACTTAACACAAAATATAAACAGTATAAAAATCTGCTTCAGTGGTAATTTAGACGTCTTCAGAGATACTCAGAGTAAGTCTGTTTATGGGTTCTGCTTCTGCATCATAAACAAGTTAACACTAATGTGATTGATAAAATCCAGTGTTTTTTGTACATTAGTAAATTAGGTGTAAAGCAGCTGAGTTTTCTGCTGGGTTAAAGTTTTTCAGAACGTGTTGAAGTGAACAACATGTTCATCATCTGTTCATTAACTTCTGTTTGCTCAGTGTGTCGCTTGGCTGGAGCTAAAATCCTGGTTTATTTTAAATAAACAATGCTGCATTTTGTATTTTTCATAGATTTCACTTTTGATTTCACCAAATTGCTTTTTGATGCTGTTCATCAAAATTGAATGTAAAACGACACGACACCGTTTTCCAACCTTTCCTCCTCAGTGGTGGAATGTGAAGGGCTCGACACTTAACACACAAAAATTATTTTGAATTTGGGTCTGGAAAACCTGGAAAACCTGGAAAACGGTTGATTGGATCGACTTCTGTCCATATCTGTGGTTAATGTGGTAATGTCTAGAAAAGTCATTTTGTATCTTGACCTTTTTTCTGAATCGGATTCAGTGGAATTTCTCTTAAATCTTTCCAACATGTGAAGGGAGGAAGAGTTGGGATGACTTCATGAAAGCGACTCATTGTCTCATCTGAGCCTCTCCAGGAGGCTGACACTGGAGTAAATAACCACATTAGCTAGATATGCTGAATTAACAGCAAAACCGCTGCGGATGACATGCACAGAAAATCAGACCCAACCAGACCCACTAAAGTTTCTCCTATTTGCACCAGTCTCATGAAAGCACGCTTATTTTATCCGGAGACATTCCTTCGATGGTTTATTAGAGTCTTTAGACAGAAGCAAAAACAGTAAATTTCCACAAAAATAATCTCTGGATTTTTCCAGAACAAATAAGGAAATTTCTGAGTTTGAAAAGTTGAAAATCTGCTGGAAAAACTCATAAGTGATCCAGAAAAAACTCTGAATGTTTTTTTTTCTAACAAATTTTCCGACTTTTCCAGCTCAGAAATGTCCTTGTTTTTTTTTCCAGGAATTTACTTCTTTCTTTTCTGTCCACATTGACCGTAAGATGCTGTCTTATGTTCCTGACCAAAAGTAAACAATGCAGCTAAATACCAACCAGTTAAGATTAAATGTTCCTCTGAAGGAGTTTGAACAAAGCTGGGCATTCTCAGATCACTAACAGTCCTCTGCAGCTGGAAAGAAAACACCTAAAATACATTTACTAAAATATATTTATTGATGTCACAGCATTTAATTACAAGGAAGCTTCACTTTGTTCATTTTGAAATAAAATACATTTATTTTCTTTTAGTCTTGGATGTATTCATCCTTTCTGAACACTTATTGTTTACCGAATGTTTTCATCATGTAATTATGCTTTATATTGCATTAAGCTATCAAGAGAATGATTGTTAAACTGAGAGTTTATCCTCAGAAGGTCTTATTATTCACTTTAGATCTTAAGAAAAAGTCAATCTGATGATCTCAGATTATTAAATTTCCTGATTCCTACCAGGAATCTTTCTGTGAAAGATCCAGTGATTCATTATGATCAAAACAAGTTTCCTTTTGTTTCCCTGTTGGTTTTCTTGTCTTGTTTTTGCAGCATGACTCTTCAATTTAGAGTATGCTAAGCTAACCTGACCTAAGCTAATCTGACCTAAGCTAACCTGCGTCATACTGAGGAACTCTAACCTATGCTGTGGTTTTTTTAATGGACAACTTTGTTTCCAGAATCTTCATAATTCATTTTATTTGTTGTTTTGTTTATTTATTTTGGATATTTACAATGTTTTCCAGTTCCAAAGTTAAATGCTCATTGGAATTTAAAGTTTGAGAATATGTTTCTATTTACTTAAAAATGGTTTCAAACCAACAATATCATCATTTATCGTAATAATCATCGTTTATAATCTCTGGGACAGTTTATGGTTTTATTTTCCCTCTGAAACGCCTCCCAGGCTTCAGCTGTGTGTCTGAACCCGTCCTGCAGGTTTGTTCGTGGACTGGCGCTGGCTGGCGATCTGCTGCTCCCTGCCGCCGTCGCTGCTGATGGTCGCCATGTGCTTCATGCCCGAGACGCCGCGCTTCCTGCTGTCGAAGGGGAAGAGGCGGGAAGCCGAGGAGGCCTTACGCTTCCTGCGCGGGCCGGACGCTCCCATCGAGTGGGAGTGCTCCCGGATCGAGGACGGATGCGACGAACAGGTGGAATTACAACAAAACCAAACAGTTTTTCCTCCTTTAAAGGATCAATCCAAGATGTTCTCTGTCTGACGGATTTGTCCGTTGGGATTCTGTTTTCTCCCAGGGTTCGACGTTCCACCTGTCCGACCTGAAGGACCCCGGCGTCTTCAAGCCGCTGCTGATCAGCATCCTGCTGATGGTGTTTCAGCAGATGACTGGGATCAACGCCATCATGTTCTACGCTGAGGACATATTCGTACAGGCGCACTTCAAGGTAACACACACACATTTATACACCGATACACAATTTTGGGGTTAAGTGCCTTGCCCAAGGGCACACCGACACGTGGCAGGAGGAAGCTGGAATCAAACCTACAACCTTCCGATCACAAGACGACTACTACCCACACAGCCACAGTCGCCCCAGAAGCAGATTTCAGTTTGGAAACTGGATCTGCGGCGCTTTCCCTTCCTGATTGTTGCTGTTTTTCAGGAGAGCGAGTTGGCTTCGGTGATCGTCGCTCTGATTCAGGTCATCTTCACTGGGATTGCAGCGGTGATCATGGACCGGGCCGGCAGGAAGGTTCTGCTCGTCATCTCAGGTTCTCTCAACAGAACCAGTTTTATTTCATTTTATTTCATCAGATCATCAATGCATGTTTTGTTTCTTCTTGTTTCTTTTCCCAAACTTTTCAGATATTTTCTGGCCTATTCCTGATTTTTCCAGGATTATAGATCTTTTAAATTTGATCGGATTAATCAGACTCTAGTGCTGTGATTAATTCTGATTAATCATTATCCGATTAATAGCTTTGTAAGCTTGAAATATGAATATGCAAGTCCCTCCTCCTGCCGCACTCCAACCAATTGAAATGCAAACATTATGTGATCTTTGTTTTCTCCCAGGACTCAACAGCAATTAAGTGAAACTTACTCCACCACACATGCATACAACCAGTAATTAGTTCAGGAAACGACTGACAGATAAGATTGATTTTATTTTCTAGTTTTGGATGCACGCCCCTTTCTGATGCTGCCCTGGGCAACTGCCCACTGTTTGCACTTTTTCTAAAAAACAAAATTATTGTCTCCAGCCAAACATGTCTGAAGATTCTCGGCTTTTCAGGTTTTTATGTTCAGGAAGGTTTAAAAATTTGTTTTAGGCGTTAATTTAGAAACTCTCCATTCATTTCCTGTTGCTCTGGTGTGATGAGGCGACAGTCGCTCGTTCTCATCCTCAAACAAAATCTTGTTTTCTTGGTAAGTTTCTAGTGCAAATATTTCACCAGTAACTTTTTTGCAAGAAGTAGGAGCTTGTTTTGAGTCAAGAATTTCTTAATATTGAGGAAGAAGTTCTAGTTTCCTTAACAGATTAATTCACTTATGAGAAAAATGTTTAGTTACAAGTCAAATAATCTGTCAGTGGACTTATTTATTTAAAACAAGCTCCTTATTCTTTCAGAAAAGTTACTAATAAGTTAGTTTTGTCATATTTCAAGTGTTTTAAGATATTTGCACCAGAAACTGGACCAAAAACATTTGGTAATATTTTGTGTTTTTACAGTGCATCCAAGTAGCGTTGATGTTCATGCACCAGTTAGCGACGAAACACAAGAAAGTTAAATATTTTCAACCTTTGTTGCCGTCTGTTGTCATGGAAACCTTTCATATTTCGTTGTCGTTTGTCGCTCCCCATAATGCGCTGCTGTTACCACAGGACAGACACCTTTAGGTCAAAACAGAGTTTAATTAACCTTTTTAATGTAACATTAACGTGTTAAATGTTCAGGCTAATTGCACGTGCTAACGTTGACAGCCCCACTAAATTTGATTTGTTCTGACTGAATCCAGGTGTGGCCATGATGATCAGCACCACGGCGTTTGGCGTCTACTTCTACTTGACGCCCAAAGTTCCCAGCGGAGCGCCGGCGCCCCACGCTGACCTCACCTGGCTGGCTCTGGCCAGCATGGCCGTCTTCATCGCAGGTGAGTTCAGGTTCATGTCAGCAGGAGAGTTTGAAGGAGGGAGTTGGTAACGCGTGTCGTTTTCAGGCTTTGCCATTGGCTGGGGTCCCATCCCGTGGCTGATCATGTCGGAGGTCATTCCCATCAGAGTGAGGGGGTTTGCTGGAGCCGCCGTGGTGCTCAGTAACTGGGGCATGGCCTTCGTCGTCACCAAAACCTTCCAGGACATGATGGTGGGTCAACCAGGGAAATATTCCTCATTTTCCTGCCGTTTCCTTCAGTTTCGCCCTTTAGCAGGACAGATCAAGGCCTCCTACATGTTAGGAATAGAGTTAGTTAACTTAGTTTGGTAGATTCAGACCAGATTCTCTCACTTTCTGTGCATTTTTTTAATTTATTTTTTAGTATTTGCATTCTTAAAATTTTTGTTGTTTTATTTTATGTACTTTTAAGGCATTTTTTACTGTCTGCTTATTTTTTCAAGCTTTTACAGTTTTTCATTATTTTTGTTTATTTATTATGCTTTCAATTATTTTATTTATTTATTTTGTTTTGTTTTCATTTATTTATTTTCATACTTTTAATATTTTATATTTTATTTTATGTATTTAGTGTTTTTAAAATATTTTTGTCTGTTGTTTTTATTTTTGTGCATTTAATATTTTTTAATTGTTACATTATCTTTATCTTTTATTCATTTCTTTTTACGCACATGATATATTTACTTTTATTTACTTTTATTTATTTAGTGTTTTTAATTATTTTTATTCCTTTTAATATAATTTTAATGCATTTAATATTTTTTAATTATTTTTATTTCTTTACTCTTTATTGATTTGTTATGCTTTTTATATGATTTATTTTTTATGTTTTGTTTTATTTGTTTATTTATGTTTAAATATTTTAATAATATCCCAGAGGTGTTGTTGTGAACGAACTGATTTGCCTGCAGTTCTTTCACAGCCTCTGTGTTTCCTGCAGTAGCTCTAATCTGTTTCTGCTTCTCCTCCCAGAACCTCTTAACCAGCGCCGGGACGTTCTGGCTCTTCGCCTGCATGTGTGGCCTCAACATCATCTTCACCGTCATCTTCGTCCCAGAAACCAAAGGCAAGACGCTGGAGCAGATCGAAGCCATTTTCAGAGGGACGTCAGGTCCATGAAATCATCCCTCATCGGACCTCAGCAGCCTGAACAGACTTTAAAATGGGCATTCAGAACATATCCTCCAAGAACATGAAGCTAACTCAAACATTTTCTATATTTGCTTTTATGGCAGAAAACAGGTGAATATTTTAAGTGATTCTTGTCTGTTTGGTGAAAACTGAACTGTATTTTATTATTGAGGTGCAACCAAACTGCCAAGAGAGATGATGATGATGATGATGATGATGATGATGATGATGATGATAAGTTAGACATGTTGGCTCCTGAAAAATACATAATCTGACATCAGAAAGCTGTGAGGCGCCTGTTGCTCTTCGCTGCCCCCTGCAGGCCACAGAGGGCATCTGAGAAGGAAGCACAGCTGTAACGCTTCTTTACAGATTTCAGCGATGCAACGCAAAAGCTTCACTACGGCAAAAAGATGTCTGTGAAGTTTCTTAAGTTTCTGTCTGTGTGTTTCCACACAGCGTTTTCAATATTGTACCACTTATAAAAAAAAAGGTTTAATCTGACAATAGATAAAAAAGCTGATTTTTGCTGTTAAGTTGATAAAATCTTTATTTAACTCTTCCAACAAAACATTTACGTAAACTAAAACTTTTCCCTTTCTGAGTTTTTATGCTGCTTTTTGCTACATTTCTGTTATGATTTTCAGTTTGCTGATTTAAGCTCAGTGTTAGGAAAATTCATACAGGAAAAATATAAAAACATGAGCCCTGATCAGTACAAAAAACTTAAAAACTCTCCACATATTCCTTAATTTACATTAGAAACACTATTTAAAGTTTAAATGAGTGTTGGGTTTTACCCGACTGCGTTGGTATTTGGATGTCATACATAGTTTTTAAATATTCACAGTGAATGTTTGGGAGGTTTTTTTTATTTGATTTTACCACAAAATGTTCAGGTTAGTGTCATGATTGATTCTGAGCCTTTTAAATATTCAGAAACTATTTTAGTTAAGCTATTTTCATGGTTGTAGTTTTATCCTATGTAAAATTAGTGCATCAAAGTGCATAAATGCTAAAATTCATCAACAGTATGTATTTCCTTTCTGAATTATTCTCCACAGCTGCAACTGAAGGGACGTTTTAACCATATTTAACACATAAATCACAGCAAACAAAATAACTTTAGATTTTCTCTTCCACAAGGTTCTGCTGCAGTTAGAAAATGTCCTTAATAAGTTACTGTGTTGAGGTTTGATTTCTATCTGTCTGATAAAAATGCTGAATCGCCGTAGCAACCAGACTCAGCATTTTCTGATTCTTTGGTTTGCTGTGGTTTCTTTATTCTTATATGAATCCACTGTCAAGTAAGTTGCAAATTAACAGAAGGAAGTTTGTGTGTTTTGCTCTTCTTTTGAAATATCTGCTGAATTGTTATTTATTTTTTTAATCTGGAGTCATCTTTGATGATCCTTCAGAAAGTGAAGTGGAACTGGACTTCCTAAAAACACTTCCTGTTTTTGTTTGGCTTGATGTCATTTCAGTGGAAAAGAATAACGTCTTGTTGCTGTAATATTTTGCAGAGGAAAGAATACGATGTTATAAAGATAGTGGGACGTGAATGCATCATGAGCTGATGGAGTTCCTGTTTACACTAACTGCATTTTTACTCAAAAAGCTGACATCAGTTATCTGTAACAACTACATGGTTCTGTTTGTACCGGTTTTTTATTCTTATGGTTTTGTAGATTAAATGTTTTAGAAATGGATGCATTGTGCTGATTCATCTTCTTCTTTGGTACAAAAAAATTGTCTGTTTTGTAAAGTCATGATGTTCAAAATTACTTGTTTCATATCTTCACAATGATCCTGGTTGAATCTTTGAAAAAATAAAATTTGTGATTCTATTTTTTTTGTAATTTGTGTTGCAGAAATTATTAATTTTCTCATCAAAAATTGAATTTGTGATTTTAAAAATAAATATAAAATCAAACCCAGTAAAACAAAAACACATGCAATTAGTAATAAATTGCAATGATTTAAACAGAAGAATTGAGTTCAACTTTTCAAAACAAAAATCTCATTCAGATGCCATTCAACTAGTTTTACTCACAACAGTAATTTTCCCATCAATCCAAGCAGAAAGGTTCCAATTAGATCCAGATCTGACAAATTATTTAAAAAGTTTTCCGAAGAAGCCTAAAGACGACTTCTTCACTTTGACGAGCAAACACTTCAAATTTGTATTTTTAATTTGATTTTGTACCATTTACCTGGAAATTTAAAAAATAAAATTAATAATAATCACAGGTTGATTTTAAAGTAGGACAAATATTTAGTAAAATCAAGCATAATGGCAAAAATAGATAACAAAATTTTAATTTCATTCCATTGCTTCTGTGGGATCCTTAACAAATAGTTTAAAAAGTAATTAAGTAGGTAAAGGTTTGATACTTTTATTTGGATTATATTTTGTACCTCATATATTTATGACATTAAAAAATACAACTTGACTGCAGTGCAGAAAAAGTACTTCTTACAATCAAAAACATTAAAGCTAAATTTTAAAATATATATTTATTTTCATTTTATTGTATAACAAATAACGTACAATAAGCAGAAATTGTGTTTAATATACGTGTATATTTTATAAGACCACCGATTCCAATGTTTAACAATAAATTTGTATTAAAAGATACATTGTACCTAAAAATCAATAGTTCGAATTTCCGCGTTTGCGCACTTGCTCTGTTTTGAATATTTCAAAATAAAAGTCATCAACCTGATGACCGCTTCGTCTTACTTTTTAAACAATAATAATAATTTTAAAAAAGAAGAAACATCCTAAAAACATAGCTAATAAAAGCATGATTACGATTATTATTTTTAAATTTTGTTTTAATTTTAATTTAAAAGTATTGTAGGTGCACGAGCTTCTTCCTGTGCGCGGTTAAATGTAACGGAAACGGTCCCGAAGCGCCTGGTGGTGTCACCCGGTTTATGTTCCGGCGCGCTGCTGGCTGTCAGCCTGCCCGCTGCTCGGCACTGATAGCCGGGGATGCTGCTTGCCGCGCCGCGGACAGAGATGGAGTTCAACCGCAGAAACAGCGGAGTGACGGACGGAGTTTGAAACAAAGGGAGGGCGGTTGGCGTTAGTTCACCGCCTGAACTCACCGATCGGGGGGCTTTTTCCCATTTTTTATACCGATAACAGAGAAATCAAAAAGTCCCGGTGAAGATGAAGCTGCTGAAGCCGAGCTGGGTGAGCCACAACGGTAAGCTGCTTGTGCAGGAATCTGTTGGACCAAGTTGTGCTTTTGTTGTCGGAGGGGGGGAACTAGTTGAGGAGGTCTGATGGTGGTCCTCACTTGTTTTTCATTAACTCACTTTCCTGTTCTCAAATATTCCCGAATATGGGATAAAAACATCCCATAGTTTTTATTTCAGGACTCATATTCTCTCTGTTGATTAGATTTAAATTAGCTAACACAGCTAGCTGGTTAGCCCCCCGACTAGCTCGGATGCCCCGACGCCAAACGACCCAAAAAAATGATCTACGTCCACAGCTAAAATGTCAAACTGGACATTTTGTTAAATATCTTTCCCGTTTCGAGTGACATTTTCTCAAACTACTGACAGTTTCCAGGGTGAGCTGGAGGAAGCTTCCAGCTGCTGTTACTTTGGAAAGTTAACCGCTGAAGGGAACGGCCTGAACGCCGAGCTGCGGCTGCAGGTATCGGGTTAAACTGAACACCAAGCAGGGCTGTTTCCAGCTTCACAATCCCACATCACATAATCAGTCTCTGCAGCTCATAACTGATATTTACATCAGCTTAAAGGATGCAGAAACTTGATGTTATTTTTCCACATAACTGTTGACGCTCCAAACAGTTGAACTGTTGTGCTACAGTTTTTCCCTCTTAATGTCTGAATTCATGTCCTGTTGTGTTTGCTGTCAGTAAGGATTATAAATGCACACGTTGTACCTCTCGTTAGTGTATTTAAGGTTATGATTGTGTTGTTGGTGCTGCAGGTGGTCACACAGTAGTTTGAAATTGAGTTAAGTTATGTCTTCCCAACATCACAGGGTTTTAAATACAGCAAAAGTTCTTCTTTGCTGCACTGTTTTTTTGTTTTTGTTTTTTTTGCTGTTCAAAATACTTTTCACAAATTGTTTTCAAATTATCAAGCCACAAGAATCTCATAACCATTCAAGCTCCTGATGTGTCATAACTTTAGTTTAAGTTATTATTTTTTTAGATCTATCACTTTCCAGTGTGATTTCTCTGAGTAAAACCTTTGGGTTTGCTGTAGTTATGCAGCATAAAAATGTAGTATTTCTGCTCGCGTGTCGTCAGAAACGCCGAGGTGTTTAGGGTTAATCTGACTCCATCGTCATCCTGTGTGCTGGTCCAGATGTTCAGCAGCTGGACATGAACTCAAACATCCATTTTGGTTTGGAAACACCTGAAAATACTGATAGAATGTAAAACTTTCAAAATTATGCAGGATAATTGCAGACAGAATAATGTGACGACTAGATGCAGGAACATCATGTTTCTACATCTAACCTGTATTTACTCTGCTCCTCTGTTCCACCTGTTCTGTCATTTAAATACTTTTAACACTCTGCACATTCCAGGGCTCATTACTGTCCTGCAGCTCCAGCTTAAACATCCTGGAATATTACCAGCACCTAAACTGACTCATGAATGGATAAAACCGCTTATTTCTATTAGCATTATTAGAGAAAACTAAACACTAACAGGGTTCTTCAGGTTACAGCTGAGTAAATGTGCATTAAAACAAACTGAAGTGCTGAGATAAAGACTCATGAGACAGAGACGGAGTCGACCCAGAAGGTTCACCAGGAGCAGATTTCTTTCTCAGAAAGTCCTAGATTGCACAGCGGGCGTGAGCAGCTTGGAGAGCAGAGGAGGAACCGGTTTCAGCTCGTCGCCGTTCTCCGACAAACCTGTGGAAAATCACTCAACAACTGGGAAATTTCCATTAAGACAAACCGCTGGACGTTCTTCTGATGCTGCCTGTGTTTGTGCTTCAGGTTTTAACTGTGAATTAAAGATGATTTGAGTCAAATGTTAACATGTTGGCGTTTGTGTTTTTCAGGCAAACCCATTTTTTCAGTCGATATTCATCCAGATGGGACGAAATTTGCAACAGGTGGACAAGGTGAGGCTCCATTCTGTGGAAATGTTATTTCTGATAACTACAGTCATTTTAATCAGCTCAAATGAAAATTTCAAAGTAAATGTTGTTGAATGATGCGTTTGGAAACTCCTGATGGAAATCACTGACTTCAACGCTTGTTTTGCAGGGGAGGATTCTGGGAAGGTGATGATCTGGAACATGGCGCCTGTCCTCAGGGAGGAAGACGAGAAGAATGAGAATATTCCCAAAATGCTCTGTCAGATGGACAATCACTTAGGTAAACAACCGAGTCTCAGCTCTGTTTTTGTTTATACCGAACTTTAAAGGTTCTGATGTCCTTCAATGAAAAGACCAGAAGCATAAAAATAACCACATAAAACAGAGTTTATGTAAAAATCAGAACTGAAATATGCTGCACATTGTTTACAGGACTGAATGGGAATGATCCACAGAAATGACCCATGCTGCATCATCTGTGTTTATCAGAGATGCTCTGATCAAACTGGAGCATGAAGATATTGGTTATGATATTGATTAGTTCACTGATCCAGTTTGAATTCAGGTTTCAAACTAAATGGATGTCTAAATATTAAAACTTTCAGTTTGTTATTTAAAGTGTAACTAAAGCCCCGCCCTCCGACAGATGTTGAAAAAATCAAAAATGGGCGGAGCCAAGAGCCACTTAGGGGCGTGGCCAAGTGTGGAGACCATTGTTGCTAGCGTAGCTACTTTGTTGCTATATTCAGCAACATTTCAGGCTCTTTGGCAACTTTTAGTCAGAAAAGGCAACGAGCGACAAATCTGGTGACTTTATTCTGTTATTAGAGAATTTTAAACCTGGAGAGTGTGTGTGTGTGTGTGTGTGTGTGTGTGTGTGTGTGTGTGTGTGTGTGTGTGTGTGTGTTTCCTCTGCAGCCTGTGTGAACTGCGTGCGCTGGTCCAACAACGGGCTGTACCTGGCTTCAGGAGGAGACGACAAGCTGGTGATGGTGTGGAAGAGAGCGGCGTACGTCCACAAACCGCCGCCGTGTTTCTCAGAAACGGTCCGTTCTGTCTGACGCTCCATGTTTGTCTCCGCAGGCTGATCGGCCCGAGCACGGTGTTCGGCTCCAGCAGCAAGCTGGCCAACGTGGAGCAGTGGAGGTGTGTGACCATCCTGAGGAACCACACCGGAGGTACGCCGCCGCCGGCCGCCATGTTGGATCCGTCTGCTGCTGGTGCTCAGTGTTCTGCTGTGTTTGCAGATGTGATGGACGTGGCGTGGTCGCCTCACGACGTGTGGCTGGCTTCCTGCAGCGTCGACAACACCATCGTCATCTGGAACGCTCGCAAGTTCCCAGGTGGGAGAAAACTCAAATCTGAAAACTGAAACTCTGACTGCAGGAAGAACCGATAAATCAGGAGGAATCCAAGTGAATCGCAGAACAACTCCATGATTTAGTGAACAAATCTGACTCCGATCCCTTATAAATGTCCACTGTTTCCTCAGAGATGGTGACCTGTCTGCGCGGCCACACAGGGCTGGTGAAAGGTTTGACCTGGGACCCGGTGGGGAAGTACATCGCCTCGCAGGCCGACGACCACAGCCTGAAGGTGTGGA